ATGCTTGTGAATCTTAGGCAGGACTCCCTGGCATCTTAAAGACAACATTCAAGTTCAGATGGAGCAAGCATGACATATGAGACTTCTAGAAATCACCAGATTACAAAGGTCGTTCTTCCATATGTGAACTGGCTCCAACTAGGCTTTCTAGCAGGATTTCTAGAACCTGGAGCCAGAGGGGCCAGACACAGTGTTCTTAAAACTCACTTGAGTCAGTGTCCCTTTAAATACATGAGTCCCTTAGCCTGACAGATGGTCACATAGCACACACAGTCAGGTGTGGAGGGAAGTACATGGGTTCTGGAATTAAGCAGACTGGGCTCCATTATCTTTTTGACCTAAAACATATTACCCAACCTTTCTACCCTTGAATTTCCTCTCCTGAAAATAATGAACTGTGTGAACATTGTTGTTCTGAGAATTAGAAATCATGTTACCATGCTTAGCGCAGCCTTGGTCTGCAGAAGGCTTCAGTAAATGGGAATCACTATGCAGCATGCTCACTCAGTATGGTGTCCATACTCTAAGTCCTCTATGATGTGAATGCTTTTGGTACTGGACGAGCATTTCAGATATACTTTTCTGTCTCTGTTTCCTACAATGTCTGTCCATCAATTTGGGTGCTGCCTTTTATGACCCCACAGAACAAATCTAAACTTATTCCAACAAGTAATTATAAAATATTTGAACAGTTTCAGCATCTCCCTAGTCCTCTTCATGGTGAGCCCTTTTAGACATGTGAATCCTTCCAAAGACCTTGTTTGATCTCAGTGAGGATACTTCCAGGAATGGGAAGGTGTTTGTCAGCTATAAGAAGATACTGGGATAGCGTGTCTGAGGGGCAGTACATCCTCAATAAATCCATGTGAAGGTGAGAGTGTGTGTACCCCATAAATATAATTCAGTCTCCTGCCTTTCACCACGATATTGAGGAATACGAATGCTACTTCTTCTACACAGAAAAGCATGTTTTAAAATCATATTGTCAAATGTTGCATTGAAAAGTTACTCCCTGTAGCATTGTTGTCCTCATTTTTCCCCCTGTATGTCTAATGAGTCCCATGTGACTTGAAGTTCCTGCCCTTCAACTTTACATTCAAAATCATGACCTGATTTAACCACAGAATGAGACAGAAATGACAGCAGGCCATTTCCAAACATAGGTTTAAGAGGCTATTAGATATTCCCATGTAGCTTTCAGTATCCTGTCCTCATGAGAATACCCTCACATCAGCTTACTGGTCCAAGGAAGCTAGGAGACTTGTTGAATTGGGCCCCTAACAAAGGGATCAGCCAGCACATAACCAAAGCATAGGCCCTTGAGCAAAAGCAAATGTTTTCAAGGTAATTTGTTATATGGCATTTCTGTGCCAAACAACAATTATACAGAAATTATGTGGGCCATAAAACATACATACAGAAAGCAAGTCTAATACTATCTATCTATCAGAATATAAGTTTAAAAGAATTAATGGGTGAAATTACAAAACTATGATCAACTTAAATGAATGTTTTATTAAAATGTTTTAGCAACCTGCCAGTTTAAAGTTTAAAAATATTGGCTAAGAAGAAAATAAGTATGCGTACTACACCAAGTGAGTGAAACAGCGAATGACAAAAGCAAAATGAATTACCAAAGAGACACAGAAAATCAGGGGATTCCTATTTGACCCAGTTCATGATATTATTCAACCCATGTTGAGTACCCACCATGTGTCAGTATTAATCTGGACCCTGAAAATAGATTGTGAAGGGAACTGCACAAGGTCCTAGAATGTTTGTATTCTATTGAATATTTAGGAAGCTAAACATTTTTAAAGATTAACGGACAACCAGATCATATGTGCAATGAAGAAATTCAAGCCGATTAATGGCTATATTGGATAGTCAGAGGAAAACCTCACATGGGATGAGGCTTATGTGTTAAGAAAGATTCACTGGAAGAAAAATAACATTGAGAGCCATAGCAAATGCAAGGCCATGCATGATCTAGCAACAGCCTCAGAGTGTCTGAAGTGGAAATGGGTGTAGAGAAGGGCAAAAACATTTCAAAATGAAGGACCATATTCAAAGAGGTGAGAGCATGTGGAGCTCTGCTAGCTGCAATAAAGGTAATGCAACTCATTGGAATGTAAGAATATGACCTGATTTTCCAGGCTTCAGGAGCTGTGTGGAGAAGAGATTGTGGGAAGATAAGAGTGGAAAGAGGTGGGCCAGTTAGATTGTTGCATCATGGTGGTTACTCTGGAAAGATATCAAAGCTGGAGAGAGGCGGGCAGGTCACCGCCTGTGTATTTTGGAAATATAACCAAGGCTCACTGATGGATCACATGCAAGAAAAGTGCAGGACTGTATGTGAATCCTCGTTTTTTAGCTGGGGTAACTCACTGGGGGGTTGGTGTTGCATTTCTGAAGATGAGGAAGAATGGAGGAGAAATGAACCAGAGAAGTCAAGAGTTCTGTATGGATGAGTTCATTTAGACTTAGGCCTCTAAGGAAACTAAGCTGATGGACATACTGAGTTTGTGGTAAATCCTGAAAATAGAAATTGGCAGGTATCAGCATAGAGATGGTGTTTTAGTCAGAACCTGGATTAATTCATCTAGGGAAAGAGTTCACTTTTTTAATTTCAAATTTAAGAACTTTTAAATTAAAAAAAAAAACGTTAGCAGAAAGAAGTGGGAGGACTAAACTGTAGCACAAGCTGACATTTAAGAGCTTAGCAGAGGGAGAGGAGACAGAAGAGGAGCCCGAGAGAGACGTGACAGAGTGTGGGGCATTGGAGCCAAGAGAAGAAAGCCTTCCAGGAGGAGGGAGACTCGTCAGCTTGGCTGTGGTTGAAGTGACGATTAACCGGATCATAAAGTAAGATGAGGACAAGGGAGTGACTGGAAGTGTGGAGCTGATCGGTAACCTTGAAAATTAGATACTTAGGCTAGTCATGGTGGCTCACACTTAGGATCCCAGCAGTTGGGAGACTGAAGCAAGAGGATCTCTAGTACAAGGCCAACCTAGACTAAGAGATCATATAGAGCCAACTATCCAACAGACTAGTGGAGACAGAAATGGACACAGAATGACTGAAAAGTGACGGGGGGGGGGGGAGAAGGGGGGTAATCCTGAGATCTTGAGGAAGAGGGAGACAGAGATGCAGAGATCCAGGATCGACTTACTTTTGGTTTAAGACATGAGACGTAAGAGCACAATGAAATGTCAGTGGGCATAAATCAACAGGGAAAAATGTTGATGTTGCAGTCTCACCAGGGTAGACAGGCTTAGCAGTCAATGAAAAAAGGAGACAGAACCAGAGTGGAGGTGTGGGCTCCAACAGGATCTTCTACAGTAAAAGGGATGGGCAGTGGGGGCTGGAAAGGGACTGTAAATACTCAAGCCTATAAATACTCAATGGCATGTGACTTTAGTCACCATTTGAGGATTCAGAACTTTTGAGACTATGTCCTTCATTTACAACTCCCCAAACTTGAAAAAGAATGAAATTGGTCACTCATTTTACAATGTATTTTAGAAGGCATTATATAGATGGCTGATAGTTCAGATAGATAGATAGGACTACTTATGGAGACGAGAGTGGAATTGAGAGATGTTGCACCAGAACTGCCCAACCCTCAGCAGGTGTCTCCATCCTAAAGTCCAGTGAGTCAAAAGATAAAAAGACCAAAATCCAAATGAGCACCTTAGCCATGAGAGAAGGACCACCCACTGGAGCAACTCATCCAGGAGGTAGGAAATGGGACAAATAAGACAGGTAAGAAAGAAACAACCTGTCTTCTTTCTACTCTGATCTTTCCCTGATTGTTTCAAAAGACCAAGCTCAACTAGAATCTAGCTGGCAAGTGATCCTGACTAATGTGTATATCAGGTCCTTCTTTGGACCACCACCGTCTCTCTAATAATAATATGGAAACTTTTTATTAATCATGAAAGCTTGGCTTTAGCTCAGGCTTGTCCCCAAGTAGCTCTTAAAACTCAAATTAACCCATTTATAATTATCTACGTCTGCCACATGGCTCGTTACCTCTCCTCATTACCATATGTCTGGCTTCCTCAATATCTGGCTAGTGAATCTCCTGCACCTCCAATTGTATTCCAGAGTTCCTGTCTCAGCCTGGAAGTCCCGCCTATCCTCTCCTGCCTAGCTATTGGCCATTCAGCTCTTTATTAAACCAATAAGAAGGTGCCTTAGGCAGGTGAGATACATTCACACAGTATACAAAAAGATTATCCCAACAAATGAGATTCATGGTGAAGGTCAGAGAGTAGATATGGTGGAGACAAGGAGCACGACCCTTGGTATTTCATACCATAGAAACCAAATCAATGCTGGAAACCACTCTGAGGGGCATCTTTACACCCAATGCTACTATATAGAACACAGCTTCTGTTTGCCACCCAGTGGGATTTGGAAAATATAAATGGTGCCTTTTGCAAATCATTGCAAAATCCACCCTCAAAATCCACTGCCATTACTTGCCTGCAATATTTACTCCAACCATCCCTTTTTTATTTCACCACAGGCCTTAGAATTGGGGCAGCTTGTGCTTCAGGCTCCTTATTTGCATAGCTCCTTCCAAGGCCAGGAGATAGCTCTAAGAACACACCTTACTAGCCATGTGCCTTTGTAAAAATCCTGAAAGATATTTCTTTTAACTGCCCATTAACCCTGTGACTTCCTACTCTGACCCTGGCTAAGTCCCTTTCATCCCCAAATTGTATAAACTTTGGGTTCCATAAAACATACAACTGCCTCTGCTTTCAGTCTGCCATCTTTGGGGCAGCTTGATTAATGAGCACTTGATGATACGAGAGGGTTACAGGAGGATGGCAAATCTGGGAGAGAGGACATTAAGCACCAGACAGCCAAAAGATATCTGTGTTTGAACAGCTTTAGGCTGTCCCCTGGAGTATTGACGGTGTTCGGGGGCCCCACCATTTCTCCATCTCTCTCTGAGGCTCTAACATGCCACTCTTTGCATTTTCAGATGCAGATGGGAACCTGTGTCGAAGTAACCAGCTGTTACAAGTCGTGCTGACCATGCACCGAATCATCATCTCATCAGCCGAGCTGCTACAAAAACTCATGAGCTTATATCCTTGGGCATCATCTGAGGCTGCAGCCTCATGTGTGCTTTTATTTTGATTGGTTTGCCATAAACCCAAGGAGTAAATGGCTTCACCTGTCCTTTTAAGGGTATAGTTTGTGTGTGGTGTATGTGCACCTTGTGTGTATATGAAACTGTATTGTGCACCTGTGTGGGTAGCTTCTTTTAGGTAGGACAATATTATTTATGCCAATTTCTCTGAGTGGTAGATGGTCAAAGAAATCAACATACAAATACATACAACATACAAAGGCAACATTAGTATTTTTTGCTAGAAAAAAAAATACCCTTATACATTAATCACAGATACTCATCCTACCCAGACTGATCAGGGAAGTTGTTGAGTCTTGAGTCGTGCATTTCTTTTCTTCTTCTTCTTCTTCTTCTTCTTCTTCTTCTTCTTCTTCTTCTTCTTCTTCTTCTTCTTCTTCTTCTTCTCCTTTTGCCATTTTTTAATTGAGCTATATATTTTCCCCCACTCCCTGTGCCTCCTCCCCCTCTCCCACCTACCCTCCCCCTGCATCCCACACTCCCAATTTACTTAGGAGATCTTGCCATTTTTCTCCCTTCCTAGGTGGATGTCTCTCTTAGGGTCCTCTTTGTTACCTAGGTTCTCTGAGGTTGTAACCTAGAATCTTCTTGTCCTTTGCTCTATATCTAATATCCACTTATGAGTGAGTACATATTATATTTGTCTTTCTAGGTCTGGGTTAATGGGTGATGTGTTCCTTGATGGACTTCACATGAATTCTGCCCTCCTGGGCTCTGAAGAACAGTTCAGCTATACGATCTACACTGCCTTCTTACTCTAGGCTGTAGTGCTGTCTGTGGGCCAGTTAGACCTTGATAGACATGGGCCTCCTGTGGCAGGGTGTGGAAAGTGCCCAGTTTTTCCTTCAGAATGCTGGTGATGCTGTGAGCTGTAGTCCCCAAGAGAAAAGTGCTGTAGGGAACACGAGACCAGTCAGCCCCTGAGGCCTTGGTCTCTGAGGATGTCAGGACATATAACTGCAAATCCTTTTCCAAAAAACAAAACAAAACAAACAAAAGCTACACTACAACCTGTGAAAGAAAAGGAGAGATGGAATAGCCAGGGCAGACTCCCTTCTCTAAACCTCCTCCACGAAGCCGTATCTTCCATCTCAGAGACCAGTTTCCCAGGGGCGTGACAAGGGTAGAGCGTAGGGAGATGGCCAGCTAATGAGACATACTGAGTAAGTAGGTGCCTCCCCCGAAGTGAATTTCAAACCCAGTCACTTTGCTTTTTCTGACTCCATACACCAATAATTGTGAACAATGCCAGCAATTAAACACTGCTCCCTAAAAGTGCGCTGGCCTCAGGACAAAATGTGCTTGAGTGGCCTCCTTTGGGGCACTAATGGGTGCTGCTCCTGCAGCAACCCCTACACTGCGTCCCCTGCCACCTCCCACACACTCCACTCCCACTTCCCTGTGCTCTCACACAGCCTTTCAGTGGTACATTCAAATGCCCCACATCCAAAAATAAACTCAGCCCTATTTCCCCTTTATTCCACTGTTAGGATTAGAAATTGGATGTGAAACCTTCCTAAATAGTCTGCCTTCACAAGCCCCAATCTCTACTCCCACTCGCTCCTCAACACAACTGCGGCTCCCACTGAAATACGCAGACTTCCCTCTCTTGCCACTGTGGCCTCTCAGCTGCCAGGCCCAGTGGGCTTTGCTCCATCCTTGCTCATACCTCGTAGCAGCACTTGACAGCCTATGCCTCTGATGCCTTTCCCCCAGGACTCCTGAAGTGTCCCTTCCCATGTCCTTCCCAGGCGCTCATGTGACCTCTCCCCAAGCACACTTGCAAACAGGGTCCATCTGCTGTCTTCTCACTCAGCAAGCTTTTGTGGGTAGTTTCACACAATGATTCCTCCACCATTCTACAGATCCAGGATGACTTTTGAGTTTACGTTTTTCTATCATAAACCATTTTCTTGAAGGTCTGGACCAGTTTGTCCTGCTAACACTTTAAGATATTCAAATATATTTGTTAGTTTGCCTCCCATGTTTGTTTTTGTTTGGTTGGTTGGTTGTCTCTTTAACCACACATAGTGTACCAGTTTCTTCTTAACCCTGCATTGGCTCCTATATTTTTAGTCGCAGGCAGTAGTACCATTGCCTAAGACAGAAGCAGAAGCTTTGAGCAGACTGCCTTTGCCATGGTGTAACAAACAGCTGAGGACTGGGGGGAGCTTCCTCTGTCTGAAGGATGCTTGGAAGCCTCATAGTCCAGGTGCTGCTGAGGTTGCATGGAATGCAGCCCCAGTGCACAAACGTCAGGAGACTAAGGAGGAGGCTACACTGTAAAACACACCAACACCTTTGATTCAACATTTCCACTTAGCTCTTTCAAAAGATAAGTGTGTGTGTGTGAGTGTGTGTGTGTGTGTCCTTCTCTTTTACTAAGGAAGAACAAACACTTCAATGAGTTGAAAAAAATGATAAAAACATAGAGCCCTAAAAGTATTTATCAAGAATGTGCCCTTAAATGTTATTTATTTTGATGTTATACATTTTCTTATTGTAACATAGAAGTGTGTGGCTGTTCTATGTTCTTGGCTTCTCAACCTTTCCCTTCATCCATTTGCCACTGGTAACCTGGACTTTTGCTTGTGTTGTTGATGTGTGAGGCTTTGTGTGGAAGAAGGTTGTGGTGTGTGTGTGTGTGTGTGTGTGTGTGTGCATGCTCTAATTTCAAAAACAGATTTAATAAGAAACTAAAATATTCATATTTAATTTTTCAAATTACTTCTATATTTATTAAAATTACAAATTTTAGCATAATTCTTTGTGTTTTCAAATTTAGTTTGTTCATCTTTGAGATTTTAGGGTTTTTTTTTTCTTTAGCTGTGATTTATCCCTCTAATGGGATAACATTATCTTATGTGTTCTAAAACTGAGCATATAAGCAGTGAGATTTCTGATTAAAACACATGTCTACTGCACTTACTCAAATATCCCACACTGAACTTTCAAGTCTATAGGTCCAAGACATTGAAAATCATTCAAAATCACAGGCTTTCACAGGAAACACAGCACTAGGGTTCTAATGAAACCTGCCTTTTCTGTATTTAACTTATTTTTCCAAAGGGGAATATCTTCACACCTACTGAGGGAAGACCACTTCCACCCCAATTATGGGATTTTGAGTGGCTGTAACTAGACCCATCTCATTGGCCTAGCTATGATTCATTGACCCCCATATTGCAATTGTCTTGTCTCAGTTGTTAAATGAAAAACAGGCCATGGCCTTGTGGGGTAGACAGCCATGTAGCTTGCTCTTTTCTGTCTGTCAACAGAAGAAAGATGATAGGACCACATTTTCCATTATACTAAAGTTCTCATCAGATTCTTAAATATTCAAATTACCCTTTCTTTATATCTCAAATGATATGTAAATGCAGGGATTATTTTTTGTTCTTTCAAAATATTCAGAATTATAAAGACAGTTAAAGCACTCCTTAGTTATGTTTTTGGATTATTCCATGATTTTGTCTGCCTTGCCATGACAATCAATGCACAAGGTTTATCATGATGCCTGGTGTGTGTGTATATGTGCGTGTGTATGTGTATGTATGTATACATATATATATGTATATATGTATGTGTGCATGTGTACATATATATATGTGTGTGTGTGTGTATGTATATGTGTATGTATGTAGAAGAAAATGTTCATGTTATTGTTCTTATTTATCAACACATTTGAATATATATGGATATGTATTTCCCTAAGTCACTGCATAAATCATTACTGGAAATGTTTTAAAAGATGAAGGGGATCTCTTTCTAACTTATTCATTCAGTTGGGCTCCTAGTCTCTTGGGCACAGGCAACAGTGATTTGCGCACCTTTCAGGGGTTGATTTATTAGATACTTCGAAAGATTGAAGTTTCATGGTTTCTGTAATATTTCCCTTAACCATGGCCCTACATATAAGGATGCCTTGGAGAAGAATTCTCCAGGAATTTGCTTGAAAATCTGCTATTTTGTCAGGTAATGTCTGTGTGATTTAGAGACTATGTGGAGTGGTAAGATGAGATGAAAAGCTGCTCTCTGGACTTCTACTCTTTCTGGTCTTCCAGCCTCTCCCTCCCAGCCTTCTGTAGCCTGCCTCTGACTCTGTATCCTCTGACTCTGAAGCCTGCCTCTGAGTCTGAAGCCTGCCTCTGACTCTGTAGCCTCTGACTCTCCCCCTGACTCTGTAGGCTGCCTCTGGACACTGATGCTGCCTCTGGACAGACCAAAATGGCAAAAGGGCTTAATATTGGAAACTCAACTAAATACAGTGGATTTCCTCTTTTGGACGTGTGCTTAAGATTCTTACCCTTTTTCCTTTTAGTCTTATGGCAGTTTGTATCAAATGATTCAAAAGAAACATACAAATACAATCAAGGGCCTGTGTTTTTTGTGTTTATTTTTATTCTTAATTATTGTGGTAATATGGCTCATTGAACATTTGAAATTTTTGAAAACAATGTAATAAACAGTCATAACTATTTTGTATATGTCCTTCATGAAATGTTTGCTTTGTTTTGTTCTTTTTTTTAGTAAGTTTTACTAATTTTTTAAGTTAACATACAATTGATAGTTTCATTATGGCATTTTCAAACATAAATGTCATTCTGCTTATGTTCCTCTATCTCTCCATCCCTTTGCTTTTGCACGCCTTTAATTCCAGGACTTGAGAAGCAGAAGCAAGCAGACAGATCTCTTAAGTTTGAGACCAACTTGGTCTACAGAGCGAGTTCCAGGACATCCAGACCTATACAGAAAAAACCTGTCTCAAAGAACAAAGCAAAACAAAAGAAACAAAACAAAACAAACAAACAAACAAAAAACAATGTGTGTGTATAGAATGCTTTTATTTTGTGTACCTTTTGCTTAGCTTTCTGTTGTAAAAAAACAAAAACAAAAAAAACTAGTTTTTACAAGTTTTTGATAAACATTATTTTTCAAAGTTATAGTAAGATGTAATAAAACACACTTTACATACCCCATTTTTTAATATTTGCTTGTCTACGTGGTCATGTATTGACCCGTCTGGATTCATCGATAGGATGCTCCTTGTCCCATCAAAGCATTTCTGTGTGACACACTGAAGCCTACTAGATGGCTTTCTTCCCTCCCAGGAACTCTCTACCCCCAGATCTTTTACTATAGACAAATTGCCCTCTGTTTTGTTCTGAGTACTTCTTGTGTCCTCAAATCCCTTTGGGACTCTGCCTAACTGTGAAGCTGTGGACTCAGTGTTCTTCCTAAAACCCTCCTCGTAGGTATTGGATAACAGAATTCTGGATCATGTTCAAAATGGATGCCAGCTTGACCAGTGCCATGGAAGAGTTTCAGGACCTGGTGAAAAGCAATGGTGAAGAGTCCCACTGCCGCCTGATTGACACTACGCAAATGTGAGTGTTGAGGTCCTAGTGGGTCCTTTGAAACAAGCTCCCTCCAGTAACCTGAGCTGTGGTACTGGGCCTCTAATTCCCTCCACCTCCAAGAAGCTCAGACAGGCAGGTTCAGAGAACCCCACCAAACATAACTTGACATTTACTAGGAAAGCAGAGAGGCCCTAATGAGGAAGCTGCCGGGGACATGAGCAAAGAGCAGAAGGTATGCAGTCTGCCAGAAACAGAGAGCCCCTTGTCTGGACTAGGGCCTCATTCGTAGTTGATGCAACAGGCACCCCTGCACTTACATGGACCAGGCACTATTGCAAAATGTCACAAGCAGAGACTTAGAACATATGTAGATGTCTGTGAACGATCATTAAACTCCCAGAGCTGAGGAGGAACTCAGGGATGCTTCATGTCACACTTTGAGTTCCTTATTCACATGGTTGGCTCACTCTGGAAAATTAGTCCTTCTTAATTTGGGGAAGGAGGTCACACATTGTATATGCTGGGGTTTTTATGTGTGGTTAATTGTTTTGCAATAATACAAATTCCCAAAATACAGAGTTCTAGAACTGCAGCATATTGGAGAGATCAATTCATCCATCCTGTGCTTGCCAGGGGTCTGTGACTAACTGGTCTGGGGTCTGTGCCTGAGTGACTGGTCTGGGGTCTGTTTCTAACCTGGGGACTGTAACTGATTGACCTGGAGTCTGTGTCTGGCCTGGGGTCTGTGTTTGGCTTGGGGTCTGTGTTTGATCTGGGGTCTGCTGGTCTGGGGTCTGTGTCTGGCCTGGGGTCTGTGTCTGGTCTCTATCCCTCATCTTATTATCACTGCCATGTATTTAACACAGCTGAGACATGCACTAGTGGCAGAGTAGTAGCTGTACTCCAAGTCCTTCATATAATATTCATGCACGTGTGAGCGCGCGCGCACGCGCGCGCACACACGAACACACATACACACACACTTATTTCAAAACCACACCCCATAATCCCTAATCAAACTGTATATTTCTGGGGTCTGCTCTACTTCTCTGCTTGGAATTATACAACTTCATAGATAAAAGATATATTTTTTTTCAAAGTAACAACCTTTTCATTTTAAGATTTAAAAAAACCTATATCCCAGGCCACTTGAAAACCTTAGCTTCTGTCCTGATATTTTCTAGTTGGATTCCTCTCCCAGGATTTTTCACCAAATGTTAATTGAGGATATTGCCTGACTCGATATAGTCAAGGAATTGCAAGTTAATGGTTTCCTTTGCATTTGAAAGCCTTGGATACAAGGGGAAGAGGCTTACAGACTTTCCCAAACTTCAGATCCAGAAGTCCAAATGTCCACAGCCAAGGCTCTTAGAAATGCCAGTTTAGAAACCCAAGCTTCCACCCTTCTGACTTCTAACACCAGCTGTTTCTTCGGCTTCAAGCGAATCTGAGACTGAGAGCCTCTGGCTGGACTGTGAGGACTGAGGAATCGCTGGCTCGTTCTAGGGCCAGCTAGTTTATATAGTCATAACTGGGAACATTGGAGGAAAATGACTTGTTTCTGCCCAGGGCGAGCACATGTTCCTACCAATGAGCCTTGCTGCCATAGTGTTTTCTCCCTATTTTTCTCTGATCTCTGCTGGCCTCCTCTTATGATTTCCACCAGCAGTTCTATAACCCTAACAGGAATGAAGGAACACACAGAGGCATCGACAGAGTAGACATATTAAGGTCAGAGGAAGAGTCAAGACCAATGGCTAAAACTGCCCCTTCCCACTGCCCTCCTGTCCCTCTCACTGAATCCAGAAGGCTCACTTTTTTGAATTGTTATTATAGAAAAAAATTGACTTGGGAAAACTCAGTAAATGCATCATTTGTGCCAGCTGAAGCTAGCTAACCGTGCCTTGGGAATTCTTGTGGGTAACACTGGTGTGCTTACTCATGAAAAGCAGTTGTGATTTTTCTTGTCTTTTCTCTTTCTCATTTACCCACCAAAGTAATTCTCGAGACTGGTCCAGGAAACTGACTCAAAGGATAAAATCAAATACCAGCAAGAAGCGGAAAGTCTCCCTGCTGTTTGACCATCTGGAACCTGAGGAACTGTCTGAGCACCTCACCTACCTTGAGTTCAAGTCCTTCAGAAGGATTTCTGTACGTAGCCAGGGGGCAAGAGGAAACCTACTCTGGGAATTTATGATCATAAGCAGAGAACAACAGCAGCCAGGTGCCCTCCCGACCCAGCATGACCCTCTCCCTGCTATGGTGCCTGGAGACTTCCCTAGCAGGCATCATGGGATCTGGAAATGCAGTGCCATCAGAATTCCTTTGGCTGCCCATGCTCTGCTTCCCGGTGTCACACCCTCTGTGCCCACTCTAGCATTCACTCAGCCTAACCAGATGTGGCACTGTGGGCACACATGATATCCTGCATGCCCTCCACCCCTGAGAAGCATTAGAGAATTGTTTTATAATTCTTCAAAAAAAAAAAAATAATAATAAGTGGGAGTAAGTTCCCCAAGAGTTAGAATTCCAAGGTAGGCTTTGAATAGCTCTGGGAAGTCCTAAAAACAAAACAAATATGGCCAGTCTTTCTAAAACATACTTAAATTCTGAAATGGTGCCAACATGGCCAGCATTACCATTAATCTGGAAGCAAACTGCTGACCTAACTCACGCTGTTGTTATAGCCAAGCAGAGCAAAGGCAAAGAGATGTAGGGAGAGGGATTCAACTTAACCATCAACAACAGGGTGCAATGGTGGCACATCCTGTCCTCACTACCGTCCTCACAACTAACTCTACAGGACACCTGAGAACCCTCTTCCACACAAGAGAATTTGTCCCCTACCCAAGAGCACTTGCCACCACGTTAAGTGCAACACACTGTCACTGGCCAAAGGTGCTTTCCTGAAACATGACACACTTTTCCACTTGGGCCCCCTCCCACCTGCAGGAGGGAGAGAAAGGATTGACTTGAGCAAGGCCTCACAGAGTATTAGAGTTGGAGCTCATGTCTCCCAGTCACAACAACTTATTGAGCCCAGGTGTGTGTGGATGGAGACGAACAAATCAGATTGCAGAGATTATGTCATAGCTTCCCCCATTACATTGATACCCTGACTGCCACCACCCAACCAGAGACCCGGGAGCTTCCCCTCGGAGCTGGCTGCAAGCACTCCCAGTGCTAACTACCCAGTTTCCTCCTGGGCACCCTTCAGACAGAGCACCGAGACCCCATTGTGGGGCTCCATCCAAGGGTTTTCTTTTAACCTGCCTCCCCTGTCCCAGGCCTAGACAGAGCTGAAAGCCTCTGAAAAGAAGCCATGATCACTTTGGGAATCAGAGCTGTGCTGGTGACACTGGCAGAGCTGTCCCAGGCCTTCGTGATGTCTGCTTGATACCAGCGCTCAGCTGAGAGTAGGCATCAAGCCTGTCTTCCTCTGGTTGGAATTCCCAGCATCTCTGAAGCACTGAAAAAGTAGAATGGCAAGGCACACACTGGCACTTAGACTGGTCCAGGTGCTTTCTTTGCTCACATTCTCCTAACTATTTCACCTGTCCACACTCGCTTTCAAAGTGCAGAGTTCAACATAGCGCTAGATCCTCCCATAGGAGCATTCCTGGAGACTAGGTTCTTCTTTACTATTGAAGCTGAGAGATTCTTGTAGCAGAGACATGTCAGCTATAATCATCACTTAGACCAGACCGCCCAAGATATTTCAGCTTCACACATGCAATTCCATTGGTATCCATAGCTAATGCTACTGACAGGTTGGGAAAACATGGTCACTGTATGTGTATTCGGCTGTGTTTCAGGGTATCCTTCTCACTTGGCCCTGCTCAAGGTAGTTTTAGGCTAGTGTTAGCACAATTTTCCTATTAGCACTACTTCATATTTGTGTAGAACTGTGAAGACAGAAGTGCTTCCATACCATGTGTTATCTTGATATTTACAGCTAGCTCATGTCCTAAGTAGGGGGGTTTTATGTTCACAGTTATTTTTAGGCAACAGATGGAAAGAGAATGGTTCTAGAAGGAGAATTGCATTCTTGAACTGGAGACTCACAGTGGGAACTAAGAGACATTTTCTGCTATGCTATACTTTATTCATAAGAGAGAGAACACCATCTACTTGAGTTTGCTATTTGGATTCATTGATGTGTACCCATCCTTGTGTGCCTAATGGAGTTCATATAAAGAGGCCCTGAGATGTGATCTCCCACCCATCATTCTTTTTGTCCTGGTAGCAAAGATGTCGGGGAGATAGTCCTAGGCTTGTTTACCCATACTGGTTCCTAGCCACCACTGAGCAGAGTTGATGTGCCCCTCAGAACTCCAAGAATACCTCATGGTTGTCTTTTTTCCCTCCAGTTCTCTGATTATCAAAATTACCTTGTAAATAGCTGCGTGAAGGAGAACCCCACCATGGAGCGGTCCATTGCCCTGTGCAATGGCATCTCCCAGTGGGTACAACTGATGGTTCTCAGCCGTCCCACCCCACAGCTCCGGGCAGAGGTCTTCATCAAGTTCATCCACGTGGCTCAGGTGAGTGGCTGGGCTGAGACAATCCTAGGCCGTGAGGTGAATGACTGAGCCCTTTCACCCTGAGCCTGGTCTGTCAGAGTTATGGCCCCCCTGATCCACAATGGGGTTTGTGCCCCTTCTGTTTTCTCCTGGTCTAGATATGCAACTCTTATGTTTTCTCACCCAAGAGCAACGTGGAAGGCCATGTAGGCCATCTCAAGATTAGGACTCAGCTCTTGGATGTTGTTTTTTTTTTTTTTTTTCAGGAGACACATTACACATTATTTTCTCGTAACTAGTTGTATGGCAAGCAGGTAGGCAGAATCACACCATCCGGAGGTATCTTAGGTCCTTGGGTCAAGGCTCCATGAATGGCATATTCAGTGTTTGGGGGGTACAGAGGTTCTAAACTTCTCTTCCCGAGCTATTATCCTTTACTGGCATAAGCTTCAGACAGTGGAATAACATCTTTTCCTGGCAATAGGATAAAAGCAGTAAGATTAGGATTATTATATTGTCTGACTGGGGATGGTCTACGCCAGTGTTTCTCCAAGTTTGGAAATGGCTCACCTGCTCTGATAGTCATTAAAGACCAATGAGGCCTACTATCTAAGCCTACCCCAAGTCTAAGGAGCTAGAACATGTGGGGCTTGGCCCAGAAATCTTTGTTAAGCAATGATTTATAACTCAATGATTCTTGGAAACCAACAGTTCAGATGGTAGTGCACAGATCAGGCACCACAAAAGAGGGGCATGTGACCGCCCTGCTGATCTCAGATCTAGTCAGGAGGTCAATGAGAAGGGAAACACCACAGCTCCTGGCTGTTAGTCTAACAATTATATGGGAAGTGCACAGCATAAAGATGTCAGCTTTCTAAGTACCCCATGTAACAACATGTACTGTGATTTTGCTATCTCCTGCCCCATGTCACAGAAGCTCCACCAGCTACAGAACTTCAACACGCTAATGGCTGTGATAGGGGGACTGTGTCACAGCTCCATCTCCAGGCTCAAGGAGACAAGTTCACACGTACCACATGAGATCAATAAGGTCAGTGGGGCCCTTACGATTACATATCCCTTGTCAAGCAGGCTAGGGGCCAGGGAGGTAAACGCTCAGGAAATCAGGATGGGTGAGTCCCAGACAGGAGAGTGTGTGAGAGATTCTGCCTGGCCTCAGTGTCACTGTGCCCGCCTCTGCCAGGCCATTTAAAATAATGTGTGTCTCTCCCTTGTGTCTACAAGGCATCAAATGTTCAGTTACTATCCTTGCCATCAACTCCATTGCCCAGTCGCCTTACTTCAAAATGTTTTCCCCAAACAAACAGAAGTTCAGTCGCTTGTAGTGTGCGTCAAATGCACTAGATGGTGACAGCCTAGTGCACTAGCTCACCAGAACATGTGCAAACTTTGCAGACACTTGAATTTCCAGAGTTGGAAACACACTCTTTAGCTACAGTATCATTGAGAAGAGCGGGGGCCACTGGGCCACCGAGCTACACCCCCAGCCATTTGCTAGTTCTATGACACGCTTTACTCAGGATGGTTTTCCTTAAGTGTCAAGTGTACTGTCCTACATTCTTAGTTAGAAGTCACAGGATATTCTTTAAACTCTGTGGCAGAGGGTTGCTAGTGTAAGTATGGCCCACAATGATGCAATGAACCATGCATGGCACTGGTGGGCTAATGATGACTCTTTGAGCCCTGTCATCTCATGTCAGGGGACTTTACTAGCCATAAACCATAAACATCCTAAACCTGAGGTTGGGGGGGGGTCTTTCTAGTGAAAGATTCCTGAGTCTCGATATCCCTTCCCATTTATCCCATGTATTCATCCTCCTTTCAAGGATTCCCTTTTAATTATCCCTTCCATCACCATGCTGAACCTGTGAGAGACACCTTCTCTGTGGCTGGGTACACAGAAACATTTTTAGTCACCTTTTCATTCCCTAACAGTTCTGTTGAGACCACACTGAAAAGGTCACTTATATATCAGAAACCATGGAAACACTAACAAAAATTAATATAGCCTACATCCCGCTGTTCATCTTACCTTGTGAGTTCACGTAGCTCACTCTCCAGCTGTATTTGACAAAGGGGGGGGGGTGTCTCGCGCTATCTCAGAGTGACTGAGTGGGCAGTCCAAGCCTCTGCTTCCTCACTGTATAAGATGGTTCTTGTTAGATACAATTTTATTAAAAAGAATTTGCCATAGAATCTAATATGGTTATTACATGTGAAAACATGGTGGGCAAAGTCGCTCCACATCTTTGCTTCTGAAAAGCTGGCATCATCACACTTGGGGAGTGGGGTTCTGAGACTGACATCAACCCAGTGTGTTTGAAAAGAATGTCTCTGGCTGCCCCTTTAGGCGAAGGTCCATGTTGAGAATCTTGAGCCACAGAATAGCAACCTGCACTACACTACTGCAGCTCCCCAAGTAAAACACATTGCTTCCCAGGCCAGCAGCAAAGGCAGCGCCTGCTGGCCTCCCAGGCCAGACATTATTATACACAATGCTTCTGGAAGTTTCCAAGGACACCAAGGAAGGCAACTTATGGTTTGGGGTTACGAGAGCATTTATTTACTGTATCCTCCTGTACCTTTAATTGTTGTGTCAAGTGCTTATATCAGTTCTACAAATAAATCACTTTAATATAAAATGATAAAACCTTTTCAAATTAAACTACGTAGTGACATCAAAAGACACATACTTTGACTATACACATAGCTGGAGTTTTAATATGAATTGTAATAGGTATAAATGAGATGCATCTTCATCTGCTATCCAACAAATCAGGGTGGGGTAAAATCATGGCGGGTGTGAGAGGCAAGCAAGGTGGCCGCTGGGGGCAGCATGCTAGGCCCCACAGGTATCTGTGACCAGTCTGTTCTGCGTTGTAGGTTCTGGGTGAGATGACTGAACTGCTGTCCTCCTGCAGAAACTATGACAACTACAGGCGGGCCTATGGGGAGTGCACCCACTTCAAAATCCCCATACTGGGAGTGCACCTCAAGGACCTCATTTCCCTGTATGAAGCCATGCCTGACTATCTGGAGGATGGGAAGGTGAACGTCCAGAAGCTCCTGGCCCTTTACAATCATATCAATGAATTGGTCCAGTTGCAAGAGGTGGCCCCACCTTTGGATGCCAATAAGGACTTGGTGCATCTGCTGACGGTGAGGTTCCCACAGGAGAAAAAGTACTAAGTGCTAACTGTATACCAGGACCATTCCACTTGCCTTCCCATGTACTAGCTACAGAGCAGAGCTGCCATCTCCTCTTCAGGGATGAGATACAGAGGCACAAAGTTCACCTCCCCAGAGGAACTGACATCATTAAGTAACAGAGGCCTCAACCTAGACTCGGGTTGGGGAAGGGGACCCAGGAGGCTTTCTTTTAAGCAGTATGCCTTGCAAACTTCTAGGGGTTCTAGGGGTGTGCTGCAACTCCTGCAAAAGCTGTTTCTAAGCCCTCAAGATGGAGCTAGTAGCAAAGCTGATGCAGGCCTGGGTCACAGGTGAACACGGGGTACTCCCATAAAATACAGTAAGGCGGGTAAAAACCAGCCAAAACAAAACAGCTGCTAGTTGCAGCTTAGATCTCTGTGCCTGGACGCATCCCAGCCAAGGGTAGATGTGAGGAGTGGCGATCAGAGTCTGTTGTGGGTGTGAGGTGAGATCAGTAACACTTCCTTCCAAATTTGTGATGCTTCCATGTGTCAGTGACAAGAATGTGGGCCTATACTCCCCAAGTCTGCTCCCTTCCTCTGTGAACCCTAAGAGGCCGGTCTCAGGGTGATTCAAACCTCCTGTCCTAAAATTGCACAAGTTGAAACTTGGTTCTCTGTACATAGTGGAAGGAAGGGTGCCCATGGTCCCTTCCTGCCTCACAGAGCAGGTTGATGGAGCCACAGGCTTTCACCCACAGCTTGGGTGCAGTTTTGAGGTTCTAACCTATGGTGATATCTTGTTTGTACAAATAAAGCCTGTCTGAAGATCAGAGGATGGAGCTTGCCACTAGCTAACCACAGAGGTCTAGAGGTGTGTACAGACAGACAGGAAGTGAGATGGCTGGGCGGAGAAAGGCAAATAGGTGGGTCCCTTTTCCACTGGGAAGCTAGTGAGGTAAAGGTGGCTGTGGCTTGCTCCTTCTCTCTGATCTCTCAGCATTTTCTCCTACATCTGACTCCAGGCTTTTATTATTAAGACCAGCTTTAGGTGGGTTTCAGGAATTGAGTGAGCTCAGGTCTCCAGGCTCCCACAGCAAGCAATTTTACCTGCTAAGATACTTTACTGTCCCCTGCTTAGTGTTTTAAAAACAAACTGCTGGTTCTGGAAAAAATAGTTCAGTGTTAAGGATACTTACTGCTCTTACAAAGGACCAGAGTTCAATTCCCTGCATTCACATGGTGACTAGAAACCATCCATAACTGCAGCTCTAGGGAATCCAGTGCCTTCTTCTGACCTCTACAGGCATAAAGCATGTCATGCCGTATATACTCACATGCAAACAGAGCACTCAGACATAAAATAAAATTAATAAATCTAAAAACAAACAAAATCCCTGCTAAAAACCAAGAAGATGAACCGCTGGAAAAAAGTAACCAAGAAAAAACTTCAGTTCTGGGAAAGGTAGAGTGTCCTAGCAATTAACTGTGTTCTGCTTCAACCCCTGCAGTTATCCCTGGACCTATACTACACAGAAGATGAAATCTATGAGCTTTCCTATGCCCGAGAACCAAGGAACCACAGAGCCCCGGTGAGTTTCTTATCCTGATGTTTTGACATAGCTCAAAAAGTTCCTCAGATTCCTTCCCAAGACGCTGGCCTCCAGTTGCCTACTACGTGCTTAGTTTGTGCTGTGTGCTCAGCTTTGGGCAGAGCACATAGAAAAAACTTCTCAACATCTGTGCTACACATAGCTCTTATCTATAAACAGTTTGTTGTTAAGACTCAGGGACCACTGTGTGAACAGGAAATGACTGTGTGCCTAATGGGGTTGGGACAGAACCTGTGGGGAGCTTTCAAATGAGAGGAGGCAATATCAGGAGACACAGTGCTGTCTCCCTCCTGCCAAAGTGTTCCCATGTCTCTTTTCTAAGATAGGGTGATGACAACAATGTGTACACTAAAAAGCAAAACTTATGAAGCTTTCTGCCATGATAGAAAGAAAAAAAAAATCTTCATTGGTCTGTGACATTCTGGGTCAGGAAGGTGCCAGACCTTTTGATGGCCTAGAGGGCAGTCAAACAGTACCATGCCCTGGCTTTGCACACAGTAGGACCATTACAGATTATCTGATCCTACCTCTCTTACTGGCAAGTAAGCAGAATTATTTCCATTTCCTAGGAAGCTTCCCAACCCTCAAACAAGAAGGACTCAGGGAAGAAAGTCGCCTACACACAAGAAATCAGCTTTTTTGTTTGGGGTTGCTAAGTCACATTGTCTCTATAGAATGGTCAGGAGCGTCTGTGTGCAGGGCGGTAGAGGCATTTCAGAAGAAGGGTCAGCATCTTTGTATTCAAGGGAATTTTAATTGCAGCCAAGTTTCAAATGATAAGCAATGGATCCTCTCTCAGCGTGTGCACACTGCATTTTTTCCTTGTGCATCTTGCTGCCTTGATTAGCTTTTCCTCAATTTCTCTACTAAAAATGTGACTGGAACACAGAGGCAATTGACATGCTTCATGTTCATGTTAGCCTTTGTTCTTAGGTCTGACAAGAGATTGAATGGAGAGGGACCTGGAGGTCAGGGCTCCTGGAAAGTGAAGTTGTCTGCAGCTGGGGTCCTGGAGGAGCACTTTAGACTCTGTTAGCCAAGCTAACTCAGACAGATCCCAACTATGTGTGCTTTCTTCTCCTGCCACGGCACACAGTCAGGAATTAGGAAAGGAAGCAGCCCTGTTACCTGCATTAGTCACAAGGATTTCCCTATTGCATTTTAGCCACTAACCCCTTCGAAGCCTCCGGTTGTAGTGGACTGGGCCTCTGGTGTATCTCCGAAACCTGACCCGAAGACCATCAGCAAACATGTCCAGAGGATGGTGGATGTAAGCACCCATTTCAGCAGATAAAACCATGGCATAGCCTGCTTTGATTTCAGGATGTGGGAAGGAGAAGGGGCCAGGACGATAGAGAACACAAAGCTGCCTCACTCCACACACTGTGGCCGTAGAGTGTTTCAGAGGAAATAATGTCAACACACTGGTCTCCAGTGGGGTGGGTTTGCCTTGCTTAAAGGCCCTTGCAGGGGAACATATGTTTAAAACCCATTGGTTAATACGCGGTAAATGTCAGCATATAACGCTAACAAGGAGAATGGGAAACTTGGCACTGCTGGGCCTGGCTAACTGCTAAGGAGATGTATCTGCATGCTGTCTTTATACTCCAGTCACACATGCAGAACAAAGAGGAGCACAGGACTCAAGGAAGAGAGCACTTCCAATTGGGTTAGGCTGTGATCTTCCCAGACAAGGGAACGGAAGCCTATAGGGTGGGCAGAGTGAGGATGGGCAGAGGAGTGGAGGGAGAATGCCCGTCCTCTAGGCAGTGGGGGAGCTGTGTGCAGCAGCCAGTGCATGGCACAGTCGATGCTCACAGGGTTAGAGCACCTGGGACAGCAGAGGCCTGGGATGTGCCCTGCGTGCCAGTACCACGGTTTAGGGGGTATGTCTCAGGGCTGCTCTTACTTAGGCCCTTGCCAAGCTTTTATGTATACACCCACTTGTCATTAGCTACAAGGAGAGATAATTGGTTCCTGTCAGTGAATGGAAGAAACTCTTTTTTTTCAGTCCGTCTTCAAGAACTATGATCTTGACCAGGATGGGTACATCTCTCAGGAGGAGTTTGAAAAGATTGCTGCGAGCTTCCCATTCTCCTTCTGTGTGATGGACAAAGACAGGTGAGGATGGTGTGTGGGACTGTGTAAGCGGTCACTGAAGAACTTGCCTCAGTCCTTTAGTGTGGACTGCAGCAGACCATGAAATCCATGGACTTTTTAAATAGCTCACATTCAGACTCCCAATGCCACCGGCTTAGGAGAAAACACTTGGCTTTCCTTCCTGCTTTAGTGTTACAAATACTGGGAACAACTCATAGTTCTATCAACACTTCCTGCATTTTTCTCGTGGTTCTAAAAACTTTATCCTACCTCTCTACAGAAAATCAAATGCATGGCCAGTAGGCTCTACAGGTGTCTTTCCTATCTCCGGTCAGACATTGTAGCATGAGTCTTTGCTTCCCTATACACACATTTCACACCACTTCCCTTTCAAGTCTCGAACACACCGATCCTTTTGGTGTGAGGAGCAGTCAGACTGCCTCACGTTGTCACTCAGTGCTGCCCGTGTCCTTAGGATGAGGAGAACTCAAGGGAGCAACAACAGGAAGGACGAAGGAAAGGTTAGTTTCACATGCTAGAAGCCGCCGTTCCCTACTCACCTCCTTGCCTACCATTTGCTGCAGGGAAGGCCTTATCAGCAGGGACGAGATCACGGCCTACTTCATGCGGGCCAGCTCCATCTACTCCAAGCTCGGCCTGGGCTTTCCTCACAACTTTCAAGAGACCACCTACCTGAAGCCCACTTTCTGTGACAACTGTGCTGGCTTTGTAAGTTAATCTTAGTGTGGAGTGGAACTTGGTGTGTATGTGTTAGGGTGTGTGCACAGGACAGCTTAAATGAGTAATACAGGCACAGCCTCAAAGTCCTTACATACTCCAGCTCGGGACTCAAAGCTTAACACCCAGAAAACATAGTCCTCTGTTGTATGGGTTTAGCCTGTACCTAATTTCTTCCTGCTTTTTTTTCTTCCCTGGTTCATTATTCTGGGATAAATGGTATGGAAATGTGGGATTTGGTTACACCTTTTAAAAAGTGTTACATGCTGCTTCTAATGTTAGAAAATAAGAAATAGGAGATGCCTTTCTTCCTTTTTCAAAAGAAATTAAGTTACCCATATTCCAGCGGGTTGTTCCACACCCCCCCCCCCGGGGCAGCCCTGGTTAAATTCAGTATGTCACAGAACAAGAACTAAAAAGATATGGGAGGGAGACTTACTGGAAGAGTGGGGGTTGGTGGAAACGGGAAAAGGATAAAGGAGGATGGGCAGAGGGATGAGTGTGACTAGAATGCATTGTGTGCACGAGGCAAATTGTCCAAAATTAAACTGATTTTTAAAAGATCTCATCTCAGAGATTACCTGAGTGCTGTTTGTCCTCTGTCCCAAACCAACTAATAGTTTCCTCCAAAGCCAGGTTTCTGACCCAGGACTGTATACTCAGTCCTAGGGAGCCTGTTGTTCAGGGTTCATCCACATCAGGCCTGCAAAGTGCTCTTGCATAGGTAGCAGTTGTCTCTGACCAGTGGCTTCTTGTCAGAAGACTAGGACATGAGAGAGCTACCAGGGTCTACCCATTGATAGACAGAAGAACAAAAATAGAGTATGAATGCCCAGATACCTCCTCATACCGGTCAAATGAATGACTTATGCCATATTGTGTTCTTTGCCTTGTAGCTCTGGGGAGTGATCAAGCAAGGTTATCGCTGTAAAGGTAAGCCTCGGCTTTGGGGAATGAGGTCACTTCCCTTGTCTGAAGAGCTCTGCTTGGTAACATTTTTTGTGCATAGTAGTTGTCCATTCAGTTCAAACTTTCTTGGCTGTGTTCACAGCCTTGTGTCTAAACTGGTTTCCAAAGAGCACCCTCAGAAGGATTGTTGCCAGCCAAGAAAGGGATGCCTGTAAGACTTCTCTTTGCCTCAGTTGCAGATGGCTATGCTCCTTGTAGAAGCATGGAAGGGCACATGCTCAAGGAAAGGGAATCACCTTGGGGAAGGTTACTACAGGAGCAGTCAGCTTTTCTTTTTTTCAGCAGATACCTCAAAACCTAATTTTCCAGGTTGGCATCTCCTCTCTACATGATGAGAAGATGCTGCTTAGTTCTGAGATTCATTGATGCAGCTCTGGGGCTTACCAGGGGGTTAAGAATCAGGAGGTGATTTTTCCTAGATCCCTTAGGAACACCAGAGGCTAGACCAGCAAGTTTGACAAGAGAGCAGTGTGTGAGTTTGGTTGTGAGAGAGATGCTAGAAAAATGTGTGAAGCCACTTCTGAACAGGGTGTCTTGTCTGCAGACTGTGGAATGAACTGCCATAAACAGTGCAAAGATCTGGTGGTGTTTGAATGCAAGAAGCGAATCAAGAGCCCAGCAGTATCCACAGAGAATATTAGCTCTGTGGTGCCAATGTCCAACCTTTGCCCACTGGGAACCAAAGATCTGCTCCATGGTAAGCAGGCACTGGGGATGTTTGTCGTGGGTATGTACAGGAAAGGGTCAAGTTTGGCGGGCGGGTAAGAAATATCACCCCATGATGCTTATTTCCAGTTAGCCTTGACCTCAAGTGCTATGCCAGGGCTGACTCATCATGGATTTTTAACTCTCTGCTGTAACAGAGTGGAAGTTAGACAAAAAAGAAAAAGGAAGTAAGGAAGGGAGGAAGGAAGGAAGGAAGGAAGGAAGGAAGGAAAGAAGGAAGAAAAAGTCATCAGATGCTACTGGATGCCTATCCAAGTGCAGATATCGACTTCTTGCCATGACAGCACCTCATATTAATTTTCTTCCTCTATCCTTAGACACAAACCAAGGATGGGGAGGGGGAGAAGTAGAGAGTGAATGTATAAATGCATAACACACAAAGTATGAACATAACACACTGCGTAAAAGGGATGGCTGTGTTCAGAAGCAAAGTCTAACATCTCCATAGCTCAGAAATGTCCTAAGAACATACTAATAGCAGAAGCTGAAACAATGTCAGCAGAGGCTGAAACCTTAGATCTTCTTGACTCTGTTTCCAGAAAGAGGCAGACACAGCTGAGAATTTGATGTTTGCAGTTTAACAGAGACCACCCTGAATGAAAAGTGACCTGAACAGACTCATTGCTAACAAATGAGAAAAACAATGTGACTGGCACTCAGGACTGGCAACAGGGAGTAGGCTCCCCTATTGGCTCAATGACTATGTGCATCATCCCTGGTTTTCTTCGAGAAGAGGAGCTTGGCCCATTAAATTAACACCCTGCCCTAGACTGAGAACCTTGAGAGATCAGGTGTAGAAAAATGACTAAAATTCTAAAATCAGAAAAGTAAATACAGAAAAAAAAGAGGAGAAACTCTGGAGATTAACCACATCATTCAAGGACAACCAGGGGCTAAGCCAGAATTGCCACAGCTAGCTCTGCACATGGCAAAATGCAAGTAAAGTGTGATTAGGAAATAACACGAAGGAAGCAGAACAGAGACTTCCCGGGTCTGGAGGGCAAAAAAGCAGAGAGTGTCCAGTGGGGAGAAATGACCAAACACCAACATGGAACAAGTTGGAAACCAGTGAAGGTCAAGTAGGCTGTGGTGACATAAACGACCAGATTAGAGGGGTCACTGTGCTGGGCTGCTGGGAAAGCCTTCATGGAGGAGGTGGGATTCCAGCTGAGTTTCAAAGGAAAGGCAGGGCACATCATGATGAAGATGAGGACTATGCCAGAGAAGATGGCTGTGGAGCAAAAGGCCAAAAGGCAGGCAGGCTGCAGGCAGTGCTGTTGGGATGGGTGGTGTTGTGGCAGAAGTGAAGTAGAAAAAAACAGGAAGCCAGGCAGGTGTGTGGTAAGTGCCAGATGAGAGAGTACGCACTGTCCATGCTCTGAAGCAAAGAGCTCTTACAACAGAGAGTAGAGCCCTCAAGATCATTCTCCGGATTCCTGGATGTCTAGGAGTCTGTCTCAATGACAGAGGGAGCCTAACTTGGGAAGTTTCATTGATTTAAAGTGTAACTGTGTCAAAGGCAGGAAAGGGAAAGGGGGAGTTCAAGATGGCTGAACAGAGGTACCTAACTCTCATTTGCTTCTCAACTGGTGAGATAGCTCTGGAAGCTAAGGTGCTTGGCTATGCAAGCCTGGTGACCCCAGTTCAACCCCTGGGGCCCACATAAATATGGAAGGAGAGGGGGCTGGAGAGATAGATGGTTCAGTGGTTGGGAGCACTGGCTGCTCTTCAGAGGACCTGCATTCATTTCCCCACAGGCCATGGTGAACACACACACACACATACACACACACACACACACACACACACTTACAACTGTTTAAGAGGTAGGCAAACACATTTTTAGACTGAATGGGAAAATTGCAGCAGAGTAGGGGAAACATAAGACTTAGAGATCTGAGGTGGGTGTGGTATAAGAGGCACCTTGACTCCTGATGCCCCAGCTCTAGCCACAGGAAAGGGAGTCTCTCTGTATAGCATGAAATCAAGAATGCCCTGGGAAATTTGCCAGTGCGGTGCTGTTGAGCATGGCTGGTGGGGAATTGCACAACTGTCATAGGATTTTACCAACCTAGAAAACTTACTTGGATTCTGTCCAGTGGCCAGCTATGGGAAAGAATCCCCATCATCTTCTGAACCTCAGGGATGCAGTACTCAGAAAGCATTTGGAGAAACGACCTGTCTTCTGACTTTAGTCAGCTCTGCAGGTCAGAACACCTGCTTTTTCCTATCTCTGGGATTCGGAAGACATTTCATTGAACTGGTCAGCAGGAAATGGCCCTGTGTACCAGCCTTGGTTCTGTAGAGTAACTCATTATGTTTGAGTCAAATTTGCTGAAGGTCCTGCATTGTATGGGATGGATGTTGTCACATGAAAGAGAGAGGGTAAAGAATATGGAGACTGGATGGACGTTAATAGAGGATGCCCTAAGGCTTCCTCTAGCTTCCAGGTCTGAAACAGACAGGCAGAAACATGCCTCTGCACACAGATACAAAAGAATCCCTTTTTAAGTTCAGCAAGAAGAAAAATGTATGATTTAAATACAAATGTATCTCCAAAAAAATTACAAAAACCTTTCTCATATATGAAATCACTTCATTCCCTAAGCTCTGAAATATAAGATATTTTTCATCTCCATTTAATGAAATAAACAGAATCTAAAATGTCTTTATTAATAAATGATGTATTATTACTTGGCACCCTAATTACTTTGCAAATTAGTGCTAAATCTTTGCAAAAGATAAACTTGGATGACCTCCAGTTTATCTCCCCACCCATGTCAAATGCATTTACTAATCTCTACTTTCTCAGGAAATTACTCTTTCTAGTTAGTATTTTCAGGCTGTGTCTCCGGCAGGGATATTGGCTAAAGAAACCAGATGGCTGGTTTGTCCTTACCCCTGCAGAATCAAGTAAGGGTGATTGATTTTAGAATACACTTCCACAAAGCTAATCCTGCCACCTCATCATTAATCTGTACCGATCACACAAGTGAGTCCCACAGAGTCCTTACCGTCTGTCTGCTTGAGTAGCACTCAGGTACCTGGCTCAAACTCTGGGTACAGCTCTTTCCCTGGAGTCCAGAGAAAGCATATACAGGACATTCTGTCTATATATGTTTATCCTGCTGTCTTTAGATGTTCGACATCAAGGCAGGGATTCTAACTTACTGTCCAGGTAACTTTTGTGCAAACAGAAAAGGATGCTTTGGGAGCTGGAGGGATGGTTCAGAGGTTAAGAGCACATATTGCTTTTGCAAAAACCCGGAATCAGTCTCCAGTACCCACATGGTATCTCACAGGATTAGGGGATCCCAAACATTCTTCTGACCTCCAAGGGCACTCCATGAATGTGGTATACATACATACATACATACATACATACATACATACATACATACATACAAACAATAGGCAGAACATCATACACATTTTTTAAAAATATTTTTTAAAAAGGTGAAAAAGATGTTCTTTCCTTGATGTGGATGAATCCTGATGCAAATCCCTAGTGTATGCTCTACTCATGCCTGACACTGCATGTCCAAAAACAAGCCTCTTAGAAGTGGAAACTCCTTACATAAGAAATGTCTCATCCCCAGGTTGGAGAAACCTATAGATAATGCTGATCTGAACAAGAGGGCTCATGGACCCCAGTCTGATAGCTGGAAAACCAGCATAGGACCAACCCAGACTCTCTGAATATGGGTCAGTTAGGAGGACTGGGCAGTCTATGGGGTCTCTGGTAGTGGATCAGTATTTATCCCTAGTGCCCGAATGGACTTTGAGAGCCCATTCCACATAGAGGGATAATCTCTCAGCCTAGACACATGGGGGAGGGCCTGGACCCTGCTCCAAATGATATGACAAACTTTGAAGATCCCCCATGGAAGGCCTCACCCTCCCTGGGAAGCAGAAAGGGGATGGGATGGGGGTTGGTTGGAGGACAGGAGGGTATGGGATCTGGGATTGATATGTAAAACAAAGGTCTCCTCCAAAACAAATGTTGAGGATCTTGAATTCATCACTGTCTAAGAGTGCTAACAAATGTATCTCTCCACAGCACCCGAGGAAGGATCTTTTATATTCCAAAATGGGGAGGCTGTGGATCACAGCGAGGAGAGCAAGGATCGGACCATCATGCTCCTGGGCGTGTCCTCACAGAAGATTTCAGTTAGGCTGAAGAGGACTGTTGCCCACAAGACCACCCAGACAGAGTCGTTCCCTTGGGTGGGCGGCGAGGTGCCTGCTGGTCACTTTGTGCTGTCTTCCCAAAGGAAGCCACCACAGGATACTCTTTTTGTGCTTCCCAGTCCCACGTCCCCATGCCCCAGCCCAGTACTGCTCCGAAAGCGGGCCTTCGTCAAGTGGGAGAACAAGGAATCGCTTATAAAACCCAAACAGGAGCTTCACCTCCGGCTCCGGACCTACCAAGAACTGGAACAGGTGCCTCACTGCCCCTCCCTCTTTATCTGTCCTGCTGAAGTAATGCAATAGGGAAAAGCACAAGGGTGAAGATTCAACCCGATTACTAGCAGGTTAAGTAAGCAGACAAGACAAGGGGAAAAAAAAGTTGCCAAATGTAGGTTAATCTAAGCCATTTTAGTGTCAAGGAAGAACGACATTAGCTTTAACGTTGTTTAATTTTATTAAGGAATGTTTTCCTGCCCCTTTGCCTCACACATCAAGATTTATAGCATTTTTGGAGGCCTGTCAGTACATAACCCACCATGACCTAGCTTAATATGCTTATTGGCATACTACACAGTGAAGCCACCCGCCTGCAAGGTTCCAGGATGCTCAACATTGTTACCAGTGGTTTCTTCCCTGCCAGGGCCCCAGGAGAGTCACAGAGCTATGTGCTAGACAATTTGGTGACAGAATGAAGAATGGGGCTATCAGCAGGACAAAAGAGCAACAGATTTGCTGGGAGAAAACATGTCTTTTATTCAAAGCACCTTTAAAATGCATCTTAGCAAACAAGCTAAGCAAACAACCCAAAGGAAGCCACCTTTGAGTTATCTCAGATGAGAAACTGCCAAATGTTACCTTTCAGACGAATAAAAGAAATCTTGAAAAGGAAGCATGATATAAGTAGGGCACTTTGGTCTGAGACACTAAGACATTTTGCTTTGTTTTTATTTATTGCTGTTTGATTTAGTTTTGGCTTTTCAAAATAGGGTTTCTCTGTATGGCCACCTGGTTGTCCTGGAACTCACTCTGTAGACTAGGCGGCCTCAAACTCAGAGATATGCCTGCCTTTTGCCTCCTAAGTGTGGTGATCTAATCCCAGACATTTTTTTTTTTTTTTTTTTTTTTTTTATGTCAGTTGGTAAACACTGGAACCTGGTTGGTCCTCTGTAAAGTGCAAGGCTGAGTCCATGCTGAGGTTTCAAATCTGACATGCCTATTAAAGGTAACAAATATAGTTGTGAAAAATGCTACGAGAAACAGGTGACAGAATAATCCCTGCCCAGTTGTCAGGGCCATAAACCCTGATATTTTATTAGCTGTTTCTCTTTTATTTTACCTGAATCACAGAGACTTGCAGACTAGAATTCTCCATGAGCATTTTACAGGAACAATGTGTCTGGCTTTAACATTAGGGACCTGCAATGATTGGTCTTTAGTCCAACAGTCCTTACCACAAGGAAGGAGTCCAGTTAAACCAATATTTAAAATGGCATGTAATAAGGAAAGATGATTACAGCTGAGTATTTTAATAAATATTAAAACAATGAGTGTTATTTTAGTTCATGCCATAACTGAATCAGCATGGAACCAAATCAAAAAGGAAACTAAGACATTTGGGTCAGATGTGCCTGAGCTCCAGAACTATGAGTGAGCACTGTCTGCTCCTATAAAGCCAACACTGATTTCCAGGGTGTGCATGAGGGTTAAGCTACCCTACTATTAGACATCATTCTATTATCCCACAGCACTGTTGGGTTCACTGCAAGCGCTCAATCCCACATAAGCTGGTAGAGAGCATTCTGGGTGATTCAGTCTGAGAACCCAGAGCGGGTCCCATTTAACCAGACACTGCACCTATATTTTCTGATGCCCATGTAAGTCAGTGTGACATGCAGACACTTTTCTCAAAACCAGAAGCCTGGAGATGAACCAGTGGCTGCAGAGTTAAATTACTGCCAATAGAACACAAAATCCCAGTTTGAGGATGAGACAAAAGTCTTCCCCCCTGAAAAAGGCACATTAGTTATCAGTAATGGGGGGTGGTGAACCTAGGTTAAATTGACTGTAACATCTCATTTCACAAAGTTTTGAAGCACTGCTTTCATAGTTCACAGCAGACCAGACCACTTTCTGCCAAGTTAACGATGCCTGCTAGTGAAAGGTTGTGTCCTCCTCCACCCACTTGAAGGAGTGGATTACTCTGCTATCCATTCACATCTGTGATATGATAACAAGGAGTAATTGCTATTTGCACACGTCCATGATAGTTAATGTGGTATTTTATACTAAATAACTACTTTGAAAATAGTTTATAATTCTTAACCACAGTGAATAGAAGGTGCCAATCAAATCTAATACTCTTGATACTTACTGTAAGTGACTTCCCACTCACTGCCTCTCTATTAATATGTCTTATTCTCGTTTCCCTCTAGGAAATAAATACCCTAAAAGCAGATAACGATGCACTGAAAATCCAACTGAAGTACGCACAGAAGAAAATAGAGTCCCTTCAGCTTGCGAAAAGCAATCATGTCTTAGCACAGACAGATCGGGGTGATTGTTCCTAATCCAGATATCCAAGGTACAGACTCCGTGGAGGAGTATACTAGGATCTCACTTCAAAAACAGACTGCAGAGGTTTGGGCAACTTTGGATTAACAGCCTTGAAAAGAGGAAAGCCAGCCATTATTGCCAGCATCATTGTTTTTGTTGTTGTTTTGTTTTAGAATATTCTTAATGTGAGTCATTGGTTTTTAGTCAGTTGACTCAATGGGAAGAAAAGTTCAAGTATGTAAAGCTTTGAGCATTCATATTAAAAGCCTTTTCTTTCTTTACCGGAACCAATAACAAACAAGTGCTAAAATAAGACCATGGTTTCCTGATAGTGTCTCAGGCAGTCTGCTTTACTGAGTTATAGATAAAACGTCCCTGGAGAGTCAATTGCTGCCTTCCCCAGGGTTTCTGCGAACTAAGAGATTTACTTTGTTCTACCCAAAGTCTGTTCATAATGGAAACAATACCCAAAAGTGGTGACTTTGACATGCCTGCATTATTTGTGAAACTGATCCCCACTTCACTACCTCAGGTCCGATCAAGAGCCTCCTTCCCAGTCCACCCTCACTTGCTTGTTGCCACATCAGCATATCTAACTAGAAGTGAACTAGAGATGTAGCCTGGTTATAAATCCAGGGCTTTTTAATTGCACCTGACATTATCCAATTGCAGGTCAACTCATAACTCTAGGTCTTAGTCATCATGAAAAACAAACTAAATCGTACTATCCACAAACAGCAATTACCATGTCATACACAGCTAATTAGCTAAGACAACAACATAAACATGTTTGTCCAGATATTCTCTAGTGGGTACAATTAAGAATCCATGATATTTTAATAGAAATGTTCTGTGGACAGTGTTTAATTCTTCATATTTGACTTTCTCTCACTCTTTTAAAAATTATCCTAAGGTTTTCTTTTGAACTGAATTTGTGCTTAAACTGTCTTCACTTTTACTATCTAGAAATAAGCTAACAGAAATGATGGCTTGAACAGCTGACAGCATGTATATATGTACAGAATATGTATATACAGTATCAGGCATGCAGGTAGCTTGGACTTTTCATTTAGAGAATGCAGATGTGAATCAAATACCTTTTAGTCATTTACACAAAATCACAAATATAGTCCTGTTCGTTATAAGACAAACTGCTAACAATATAAATTGTATTGTTTTGCAATACCATGAGTAACGGTCTCTGATTATTCTATCATGAAGGTTAAAAATCAATGGGTTTGACTTGTTGCCTGGGAAGCTATTCACAAACTCTCTTGTCGGCTTTTTTTTTTTTTTTTTTTTTTTTTTTTTAGCTTTCAAAAACATTTCATCTGATTGTGTCCTTTTGGAGGAGACTTTGCTTCCATGATTGGAAGGTCTGGTACCCATGTTAACCTGTGATCCAAACACAGGGTGAACAACTTCCAAGAATACCATCTAACAAAATGAGTTCCAAACCTATAGCCAGCAGCACCCAGTCTCCAGACAAGTGCAAACAGCATGTGGTGCTTCCCCTAGAGTACTCAGATCACTAAAATTTGTTTGATGAAAGACCATTGCTCATTTATGTTCCTCGTGATGGAGTTTTAGTGACAAAGAAATGGCTGGTGGTTGAAGTTCCACTAGATTATCATCGACCATGTTACACACAATTTTATCCTTGTTCTACATTCAAACTCAGAAATTCTCAAAGCATAGCTACCAATTATGGAACGATTATGAGTAATGACAGACCTCAAAATTTATATTATTCACTATGGGTAATTTCCTCTGCTATGCACCAGTACAAGTGCATAGCCCAATTTTTAAGCACTGTCTTCTTATTCCTCATCCTCACTAAAGATCTCACAAGGAGTTTTTATGTAAATAACCTGTAACATAGGAATTCAGAGGGCTTTGGTCATTTATCATGGCTAGATGATCTTATACACTGCAGAACCCACAAAAAAAAGACAGCAGGAAGTAGTAATTGCATTAGATTCTTACACTCCAGCTAGGGCAAAAGATGTTCAGCATCTGCATTGGTTCTGTTCCTGTAGGAGCAGGTGGGGTCTACTGATACAACTGGGAACAAAGTTCAGCTTATCACATAGAGTTTTGTTTACTATCCTGCTTGAAATGTTCAGGCAGATCTGCATCTGCCAAATCAAGGACAGATCCTGTCAATAATAGGGAAACCACTTCTCATCTTCTCTGTTGACTGACTCACCTACTTACTGACCAAGTGTGAAATTCTGTCTAAACATGTATAATGTAAAAGCTGCAAGAAAAAAAATGTACAGACTGTAAAATTTTTGATACCTATTGTAAGTTTTCTGTGTCTACTATTTATATGATAAAATACATTTGGATCCCTAACTTCAAGGTCTTGTGTTTCTTCATGCATTTCATTTGAATTCAAATGTAATTCAAAGTAAATCTACTCCATTCTGTTAAGTTTTCTTGAAAAAAAAAAATAACTCATAGTATTTCATAGGAAATAATGACATCATGCCAATAAGCTGACCCTGAAGGAAAGATGAAAATTCTTATCCACATGAATTCCCAGTCCTCAAGCTCTGTCTTCTTCACATGGTAAAGAGACAAACATTGCTCAGGACATTTTCTGGCTACAAATCCTTTTGCTGTTATGCTCACTGTTTGTGTTTGCCACAAGTACTGGTAAATTGTTTAAATTAGATGTTATGTATTTTCTATCTAATAAGACAAATTTTCCTAAATCTACAGAGTACAAGGAAACAGCCTTGACATCAGTCCGTGTGGTCCAACAGCACTGATGTTCTCAGCCCAGAGGAAAGCTCAGTTACTAATTTAATTCAGAAAATTCTAGTAAGATCATGTCCACAGATACTCACAGGTGCCACAAGCTGGACAAAGACATGGCAAAAAAGGGGGGCAGAAAGTGTAAATAGAAAAAAAAAAAAAAAACACGAAAAAGCCAAGAAACAAAGAGAAAGTATCCAAAAAGGTAGTAGGTTTCAGAGAGCAGTGAAATGCCATTCATTATCAGCCTCCATGTACTCAATCCATTCGTAACATTCTCACGTGATAGCCTTCCACAATAAACGCCCCAAATCAGCCTACTGCCAGCATAGGCACTGAATAGCAAGCAAACCGTCTGCAAACAAGTTTTGAGCAAAGACTATCATAGTAACTGCACCTAAGCTACTGGGCTGCAGAAAACAGAGCTTCTCCCTGTAGGCTGGGTATACAGAGCTGGCTCCATTCCACTGTGATTTCAGAAGTACCCAAGTGAGTCAAGACTGCCAGTGGCTGCAGGGACAACCCCAATAGCACTTACAAAAGGAGCGCAATAGAAATGAACTAACCTGGCATATTCAAATAAATCTTTAGGGTTAAAAGTAAAAAACAGATGTGTTGATATAGGCCTATAATCCCAGCATTCAGGAGGCTGAAGCAGGAGGATGCAAAGTTTGAGAGTCAAGTTTAAGAACAGCATAGGTTACATAGCAAGAGCCTTTCTCAAAAAAGATAAATATATAAATAAAAATGAGCTGTAAGTCATCCCTGTCAGCAACTTATGTTCATGAAAATGAAGAAATGTGAAAAATTTTCAACAAACTATTTCACAATACTTTACTCATATGTAAGGATTTGTTTGTTTTTGTTTTGTTTTAGTGATGTTTTACAGGTTCCCTGCCTCTCAGTCCCTCTGGGTCCTTCTCGCCGCACCCGCTGTGTCAGAGGTATGAAAGAACCCAGTAAGTTGTTAAACAATAAAAGACCCTTTGTTTTTGCATCAGATCAGGTCTCTTGGTGATTTTGGGGTGTGGGAGAAAGAGAAGGGTGGTTCTTGCCTGTGTTGATTATCTGTAGCTCCTGTTACCACCAAAGGCTAAGAGGACAGGGCTGCAGAGTTGACCCTGCGCCTCATGGGATGCAAGGCTAGGGAGAACTGGTCCTGCTTCTCATCAGGCAGGCGCAGCACTCCGCCTGGGCAGCACAACAGTGTTTACTCTGCTGCTGAGGGCAGGGCAAGACTGCACTGAGGGCGTGAAAGTGGGAGAGCTGGCCAGGGGCCCCTCATCTGCCACGTGGTGAGGGGAAGGTGCCCTCCTCCCTTGAATGCTGTGACAAGAAGGAGACCTGACCCAACCCTTCATTTACTGCAATTAGGAAAGCAGGGCCTGTACCCCGCCCCAGCAGTACAATAGAGCTGCCCCTCTTAACAGGGGTACAGGTGAGCTGGCCTTGAGAATGTATGCATGGGACATGTGGCCCTTGTAGGGAGAAAGTGACAGCCAAAGAAATACACTTTGGCCCTGCAACCTGCAGAGCCAAAGAAATGCACCCTGATCCTGAAACCAGAGCCAAAGGAATACACTTTGTCCCTAGAATCAGGGCCAGGGAAAGAAATACACCCTGGCCCTAAAATTAGAACCAAAAGGCTAAAACAGTTTTGGCCAGTGAAAGAAACATACCCCTGACCCTGAGATCTAGCTAATCTGAGCTCAAGAACTGAAATCTGATCAATCCCCACTCTGGAAATCTCCCTGGAAAAGCTCTGCTCCTAAGAAGTCCTATATAAACTCTGTTCAGTTTGCTGCTGTCTTCTTCCACCCTGGCAGAGGCAGCCCCTCTCCTGGATTCTTCTCTCCCAATAAATCTCTTGAATGAGGTTTGGGTGAGACCTTCCTTCAGAGAAGTAACAACTTGTCAACTTATCCCAGGAGCCAGAGCAGAGCAGGAAGGACTGTAACACTTTCACCTAGTTAACTTTCCCAAGCAAAGTGGAAACTCCTGGAACAGAACTATAACATCATTGGGGAAGCCCTCCCCTGCCAGAACAGAGCTGTTACACTGGGGAAGCCTTTCCCCGCAGCAGGGCTGTAAGCTGCTTCACTTACTGTGGCTCTTGATTGCCAGAATACTTTCCCATTTGGGCTGTAATGTTACAGCCCTGCCCCTCATCTACCTTTAAGGTGGCATGGGTGAGAGAGATGCCCACCCCTATCCCTTGCCACCTGTAGCAAACAGGGAACCTGACCCAGACCCCACCAGCTGCAGCACTTGGGAGAGCAGAACCTGGTCCTCACCTGGGTAGCACAGTAGAACTGACCCTGTTGACTGGAATGTAGGTGAACTGTCCCCAAGGATGGAAATTCGTAAGTCCTGGTTGCCAGGCCTTTGACTGTTCACATTAGCAAATCACCTACAGCAATCCCTAAGTTGGTGTTTCCCAAAGGATACTTAACACAACCTCTGATATACAGAAGCTAGAGATGATGGCATGTGATATAGCCTGCCTTTTACAACTAAAGCAAGGATACTTAGTAGGAACAGGTTATTTTTCACAGCATCAAGTAAAATCAGTATGTATCTTTCTTCCTTTAAAGTAATTTTGGTCTCAATTTCTTTCTTTTATTGTTGGAGAATTTCACACATGCATATAGTATGTTTTTATTAAATACACTCCCTATACCCCTAAATTCCTCTCCTATCCCCCACACATACCACATCGTGTCCCTTCTCAACTTCATGTGTTTGTTTCTATTTTCTTTAACTGAGGCATGCTTAGGACATCTACTAGAGCATGAGCAACCTTGAATGTCCCACATCCTTCAAGAAAACTGCCAACCTCCTCAGCTACAGGGTGGGACTTCAGGACCACCTCCACTCCATGCTGGGATTTTGTCTGGCTTGATCTTGCATAGATAAGTGATAGGAGATGTCATTCTGTAAATATGTTTCTCGTATTGGTTAATGAATAAAGCACTGTTGGCCACTAGGAAAGCAAGATAGGCGGGACAAGGAGACAAGGAGGAAAGAGGAAGTAGTAGGGAGGAGATCCAAGATGGAGGATGGAGAGAGCAGAACACTAGCCTCTCTCTCCAGTAAGATAAGACCATGTGGAAATACTTAGGTTAATAGAAATGGGTTAATAATTAAGACAGAGCTAGCCGATAAGAAACTAGTAACTGGCCAACAGAATTATATCTAATACAGCGTGTCTGTGTGTTATTTGGGGCTGACGCAGCTGTGGGTCCAGGCCTGCAGGGAAAAAAATAACTGCTCATAATAGATAAGTTTGTGAATGCAGTCACAACTGCTATGCATTCATATATGTAACTGCCCCGTGTCCAGGAAACATTAATTCATTATAGTTACCCACCACCAATGGATCTTACAGTCATTAACTTAGCATTCAGTCATTCACACACGTGTCATAT